TCTTCCCCCCCACCGCTGAGACCCCCCCAAAATTTCATCAAACTGCTGGAAACAATCTGCACAGCGCATTTTTGCCCGGTGACCCCCTGTTCGCTGCCTCCAGGGGTCGGGGGGAACGGGTGTTTTTCTGAGATTAATTAGAAAAATCCCTTACGGGAATTCCCGAGAACTTCAAGCCCACCCCGCCTCTGCCGCGTCTCCTTGCCAAAACCTTATCCGGGATTCGGAAAACATCGGGAGGAGCCAAACGTCTCCCGCGTCTTGAAATCTGTCTCTCCAGAGACCCCGGGGGGACGACGGATCCACGCCGCCTTGATGGGCAGAAAGTTGGCGGATTCCACCGTATTTATGGAATTTTTTTTCACGGTGGAGGGGGGCCGGGAGGGCTGCGTGTTAAAAGAAGGGGCAGGATGCGACAGAAAATCCATTTCTCGGCGGCTGAGCTCGTGTCGGTGCCTCTTTTCTCCTCTTCTCACTTTTCCCTGGGGAAATCGGGACGCAGCGAGATATCGAGGTAAGAGATTTTATTTCCATGGCGAACGTCCACCGCTCCCGTAAATCCTCTCTCTTTAAATTGCTTAAATCGCACGAATTCGAGCAGTCGCTCTCTCTTCAAATGGCTTAAAAATTACACAAAGCGAGCAGAAACGCTCCCGGAAAAGCACCTGATTCGGTGCAAAGGAGGATTGCGCTGCTCCGGATCTGGAGTTTGTTTTGCAAAATGCCCACGTGGGTGCTCATCAAACCACCCCGCTCACATCCTGCGTCCTCCATCCTGCCTCAGTTTCTCTTTTTCCAGCCAGGAAAACAATTAGGTGGGGTTTTTTTCCCACCATGTTCGGGCAAAATGGGACGAGTAAAGGGTTAAAATACACTCGGGAAATCTGATTTTTCTCAACTCTCGGTCGGCAATAAAAAGAAAACTTTCCTAGTCATGCAATTCTTTAAAAAATGGACAAAATAATTCATCCCCACCACACTGTGGGGCAAAAATGCCACGAAAAGAGCCTGGTTGGTATTTTAATGAGAACCCTTTCACCTCCAGAGCATCGCTGGGCTGCTTCATGAGCTCGGATTTTTTTTTTTTTTTTCATTTTTACAGGATTTTTACAATTTTGCAGGAGCTGGGATGAAGCCCTCCTTCGCTTTCCTGCTCCTGACGTTAGGTAGGTTACTAAAAAAAAAAAAAAAAGACACCGTTTTCTTCTGAGGATGCTGCTAGACGGAAAAGTCACGGGTGATGGTTGTTCCTGGGTTAACATTTCCCCCCGTCTCTTCTCCAGGAGCTGTGATGAACGTCCAACCGGCGCAAGAAAAAGGTGGGTATTCGGGTTGCGGGGTCTTGCATTAATAGACGGTATTTCCACCCAAAACGGGGTGGTTTCTGCTTTAGTTTGGGAAGCGGGAAGGGAGCAGAGCTATATATGGAAATCAGATGGTTTATTTTTGCCCTGTTCGCCTTCAAATCTGCGTATACCCCGTGCGATTCCCATGGGGCAATTCCCTTCAGTCACAAATCTGCGTATACCCCGTGCGATTCCCACGGGGCAATTCCCTTCAGCCCCAGTTTCACCCCAACCGTTGGAGACCCAAGAGAAGTCAACCCCATTTTTAGGTGATGTGGAGCACAGGCCCCATTTGAAAATCAGGAATCCCAAACCCCGCGGGTTTCACCTCAAAATCCATGAAGTTGGGACGGTATTTGGCCCCCCCGATACCTCAACCTCTGCCTTCCCGCAGCGTCCCTGCTCTACCCCTACGGTCTGGACCAGCATGACAATAAGAACCCCAAACTTGACGATGGGACATCGAAGAAGCTCTCCCTCGCCATGCCCTTCACCTTCTACGGCAAAAAGTACCAAACCCTTTACGTACGTGAGCCAAAATTCCACGTCTTCCTTGCATGTCCCTCCATTTTCCCATTTCCCCCCCTTTTTTTTTGCTCCCTTTTCCAGTCCATGTTGTCACTTGCCCCCCAACAAAATCCACCCATCCATGGGATTGACCTGGTTGCTTTAACACGAGGTTTTTTTCTGGTGCGTCAAAGCATCCTCGTATGGTTGGTGGATCTTGGGAGGAGACCTACACCCTTCTGGAGCAGTGGTTGGGAGGTCCGTGGCCAAGTTTAGGGTGTTACATCCCACCACCACCCTCTTTTTGATAGAGCTGTAGATGCAGTAGTGACCTAAACACCTCCAATATGGTCGCTGAGATGCAGAAGTCGGTGGTAAGACCACATCTGGCTCCCGTGTCCATCTCCAGGGTACCACAACCAAGTCAAGGTGTTGACCACGCGATAGGGCTCCAACATAGGTTGCTGCCCTATCGGGCTTGACCCGGTGTCTTCTGCAGGTGAACAACAACGGTGTGATTTCTTTTGACACCCGGGTCAGCCAATACACCCCCGACCCCTTCCCCCTGGCTGACGGACGCCCCTTTGTGGCCCCGTACTGGGGGGACGTGGACAACGTGCTGGGAGGGGATGTCTTCTACCGAGAGAGCACTGACCCGACCCTGCTGACAAGCATCACCAAGAACATCAACCAATACTTTCCCAAGATCCCCTTCACCGCCACGTGGGCTTTCGTGGCCACCTGGGACCACGTGGCCTACTACGGCTCTACCACCAATAAGGTAAGGTGCACAGTCATGGCTTGAAGGCCAAATGAGGTCACACACGTGAAAATGAATTTATCCCACCCTGCCTCGGTGCAGAGACAAGCACGCGGCCACGGGCAAATGCCTTTTGGAGAGCAAAACGAGTCACGGCCTCAAATCTGTCATCACTTTGATGACTGAAGATGGAGACAAGCCCAAACCAGAGCTCTGCTGCAGGTGCTCAATTTGTTGGCCTTCGCAACCCGTTCATTCGCTCTCGCAACCCACGTGTTTGCCTTGTGTCCCATGTGGTTGGCCTTACGACCTACCCACGGGCTCTCATGACCCACTTGTTGTCCTTATGACCCATTCGTTGCACCTGCAACCCTTTTGGTGGCCTTACATTCCATTCGTTGGCCTTCGCAACCCATTTGTTGGCCTTACAATCTCTTTGTTGGCCTTACAATCTACTTGTTGGCCTTTGTGACCTCTTCCTTGGCCTTCATGTTTCATTCATGGCCTTCATGTTTCATTCGTGGCCTTCACGACCCATTCGTTAATGGCCTTCATGTTTCATTCGTGGCCTTCATGACCCATTCGTTAACCTCCACGACCCATCCATTGGTCTTTACCACCCATTCATTTGCCTTCATGATATTTGAGGTGATCACGTATCCTCCGGTCCCTCTGTCCCACCTGTCAGCCCTGGATGGGTACACGAAACCCCACGGAGCTCCTCAACTATCCTTAGGTGCTGACAGCTTTGCCACGGCACTGTTCCTCTGGCCACCTCGTGCCGAGAAGGAGGCTGTGGTAGAGCACCAAAAGTACTCGTCTGAAGGTAGACACCAAAAAACCAGCCTGGGTGGGCCATGCTTGACCAAGATGGCTTCCTTGCACAGCTCAGGGCAAGGAGTCTACACCTGTGTGCAACCCTCAGGGCTAAATCCCATCCATATCTGCTCATCCCACCACTGATGGTGTTATCTCCTCCTCCCTTCTTGCAGGGGAACACCTTCCAAGCCATCCTGACCACCGACACCAACACGTCCTTCATCATCCTCAACTATTGGGATATCCAGTGGACTACGGGGGCGGCAAGCGACGGTGACCCCGAAACAGGTCTTGGAGGCACCCCGGCCCACGTATGTGGGGCTGAAGGAAAAGCGGAGGGAAATGGGATGAAGAGAGTTGAGGAATGGGGGAGGAGGTTGACCAATAATGGTTTTTTTGGGACAAGACCAGGTTTGCCGAAGGTAGGACTTCGGTCCACAACGGTTTTGGGGAAAACAAGACTGAAGGTAGGACTTTGACCCATAAATTTTTTTGTAGAAGATAATGCTGAAGATAGGTTGGCCCATAACGTGTTTGGGGGACAACACCAGGTTCATCCAAGACTGGAAGCTGGCCTGTACCATTCCGGGGGGACAACAATGCCAACGGGAGGATGGTGGCCCACAACGTTTTTGGGGGAAAACACCAGGTTCACTCACGGCAGGAGGTTGTCCCATACCATCTTCTGGGGACAACGATGACAAAGGTCGGAGATCGGCCCATAACATTTTTGGGAGGACAATGTCAGATTTGCCGATGGTAGGAGGTTGGCCTGCAATGTTTTGGGGGATGACATCAGGTTCACCAAAGATAGAAGGTTGGTCCACCACACTTTTTGGTGACAACAGTGTCCAAGGTAGGAGGTTGGTCCACAAAATTTTTTGGTGACAACAATGTTGAAGGTAGGAGGTTGGCCCATAACGTTTTTTGGGGACACCACCACCAACAGCAGGAGGTTGTCCCCCGCCATTAATCCCTCCAAATCCTCCATTTTGGCCCCCTTTCCAGGCCGGCTTCAACAGCGGAGATGAAACCCACTTCTACAACATTCCCGGCTCCCAGACCGAAGCCATCATCAACATCACCGAGACCTCCAACGTCAACGTCCCGGGGCGTTGGGTCTTCCAAGTGGATGACTTTAAGGTGACGGGGGTCCCCACCGAGGTGCCCAAAGTCGCCGACAGCAACAACTGCTGGTTGTAAGTTGGGTTTTCGGGGTGGAAACCTAGAAAAAAGGGAGAATTGAGAATTGCGTGGAAAACCGTTTCCTCCTCTTGAGTTCTTGGTTTCCTCCTGCAGATAAATCAAGGCGTCTGGGGCAGAGGAACCGTCCCCATTGTCCCCGTCATCCCCGTCCCCATCGTCCCCCCGTCACACGTAGGACGGGGTCGCACGGTGGGACGCATCAACCTCCACCAGGGCAATAAAATCGCAGCTGAGACATCGCGGCTCCCGTGTCGTCTTCATTTCCACGTGTGTCCACGTGCTTTTAGGGGGGGTTGGACTAGACGTGCATGAATTCATCATTTTTTTTGCCTCTTTGTGCATTAATTTCCGGGGTTTTGCGCTCTATGTGCATGAATTTACAAATTTTTGTCCTCTGCATACACAAATATATATATATTTGCGTCTGTATACGAGTCGATGATTTGTTGCCCTCCGTGTCCACGAATTTATGATTTTTTTTGTACATTTAGGACTTTTTGCGCTCTGTGGGCACAAATTTATGATTTTTTATGCCTCTCTGCGTGCATTTATGATTCTTTTCATTTCTGTGTGCACGAATTTATGATTTATTGCTCTCTGTGGATGTTTTTTTTTTTCACTCTGCCTTTATTTATGAAATATTTTTGCCCCTCTGTGTGAGAATTTATTATTTTTTTTACTCTATCTGTACGAATTTATGAAGTTTTGCCTTCTGCATGCACAAATTTATGAATTTTTTGCCCTCTGTGTACACAAATTTATGATTTTTTGCCTTGTCTCTGAACAAATTTATTATTTTTTTTGTTTGTATGCATGAATTTGAATTTGTTGCATTCTACGTGCAAACATTTAGGATGTTTTGTCCCATTTGCATAAATTTATGATTTTTTTTTTGCCCTCTGTATGAATTCCTGATTTTTTTGCACTATGTGCACAAATTTCTAATTTTTGCCGTGTGCATAAATTTATCATTTTTTGCCCTCTATGAGCACAAAGTTATGATTTTTTGCACTCTTTGTGCACAATTTTTTTTTTTTTTTGCCAGTGTGCATGATTTTTTTGCACTCTGTGCCTGAATTAGGGATTTCTTATACTCTGTCATGCATCTTTTGCAGAAAATGCCAAAAAAATGATTTCCAAACGCTCTGGGCTCATTTTGTTTCTGATAATCCCGGGTTTTTCCCCTATTTATGGGCATTTTCCTACAGGAACACGAGGTTGGGATTGTGCCAAGAGGCCAAGTGACTAATTTAGGGGAACACCCCAAATTTTACAGGGAAAAAAATCACCTAAAAAAAACCCACAAAGTGGGAATTTTTTCCCTAAAGATGAATTTTTTCCTGAAAGAGGAATTTTTGCCCTAAGGAGAAAGTGGATTTGCACCTGGAAATGGGCACAGACACGCAACATGCAACACGCAGCGCACTGGTGTGCCCAACACACAATACGCGAACGACACACATGCACGTGACACGTGCACGGTGTACGACACACTCGGCACGCGCACAACACACTAATGTGCACAACATGCATGAACACAACACGCTACACGCTGCTGTGTACAACACACGTTTGCACACCATGCAAGACATGGGTGCAACGCAACACACGCGTGCAACACAACACTCAACACACACTAGGCGTGCCACACACGTGCACAACACATGCGTGCAACTCAACACACGCTAGGTGTGCACAACACATGCATGCAACACAGCACATGCGTGTAACAATACATGTGTGCAACACAATACCTGCGGGCAACACAACAGTCAACACAAGGTGTGCACGCATGTGCACAACACGTGCGCAACGCAACACATGTGTGCAACACAGCACACACACGGAGCGCACATGTGCACGACACACACACAACACAACACTCAATACACACGAGGTGTGCGCACAACGTGCACAACGCACACCACGCAACACGTGTGCAACACAGCACAGCACAACATACACTAGGTGTGCACACAACGTGCGCAACACACGTTTGCACACCACGCAACACAAGACTCAGCACATTAGGTGTGCACACAATGTGCACAACACACAACACGCAACACATGCGTGCAACACAATACATGCATGTCAAACAACATGTCAACGCGGACTAGGAGTGCGCACACATGCACAACACGCTACATGCACAACACACAACACGCTACATGCACCACAGGACAACACGCAACACCCAACGCCCAACATCCAACACACAAGGCGTGTGCACAACATGCTAACATGCACGACGCACACCGGGTTTGCATACAACACGCGTACACAACACCAACCACAACACAATAGACACCACGCGCTCCCCCCACCCCACACACACTACTGTGCACATACAACACACATGAGGTGTGTGCCCTAAACACCCACCGTGTGTGACGCACAAAAATATCGCACCCACAACACACTCTGACATCACACACACGATACACACCCTCCCTCCCACAACTTGGCACAAACACCCCCAAAAAC